AATAGTTTTTCCAAACTGTGCAGTATTTACTTTATTAGCGTTTTTGTGCAAGAATTCGCAAGTAAACGTTTGTATGAAACAGAAAGTTGGTTGAGCTACTGCACAAATCTTCGCCTGACGATCCAAAGAAGAATTAAGGGTGTTCAATCGATCTTAGGCGAGTGTCGCGCCTACTTATTGGGCAACTTGCTAATAAGTGCTAATAAGACCTGGTCTATTATGGATTGTTGATTCAAAAAGATTATAATTGCTGTTTTCTGTAATAAAGATAATAAAGATGGAATCGTGTGTTTTGACACAACCGATAAATTTTATTTTTAAGAAGCGAATGAAATTAAATCCTGTACAATATGATAATTCAAGCGTATCTCAGATAGAAGTTACGCCACTAACATTAGTAACTTACCTTTATGTTGGTAAGTAGGCATCAAGTTTCTAATGAAGACATTATCAAATAATATTTTCTGCATATTAGTTAGATTATGGTATATTTCGACAGAACCGGTTCCTGGCACTTAAATTGATATCTTGGCTATTATTTAATTTATCACTGTATTGTATTTTTTCCATATATTCTATAATTCCAATTTGTGATGGTTTTTAATTTATATCATCTTCGATGACGACTACTTATTGCAATAGTTTGTTTTTTCATTTTCAATGTTATATCCGGTTGTTGCGTCAGGCTTTCCTTTGCAATTCAGCAATATTCTACGTGGGTTTTTTAGCTCTTCAATAATTGGTTTTAAATTCCACATAAGGAACTCTTTTGTCCTCATAGCCCGATCGAATGACGAGACGCGAAACACACTCTTTTAAACGTTTGTATTCTTCTGAAATGGCAAAATATTAAAAATGTAAAAATATACATAAACATGCAAAAGAATAATTTCGTTGAAGTAGGTCAAATTAATATCATTACATTATACCAAATTTGGCAGGTTTAACTCAACAAAGATCCGAAATGAAAATAAATTTATTCAGTTACTATTCGAAAGTTTGAGTTACGTTCATTACTTTCTTTAGTAACTTTCTTTATTCCTCATCCATATTTTTAAAGCGCGTCATCATAGGCATAGACAACGAAATACATTAAAAAAGAAAGTTGTGGATAAGAAGAACTGCTCTTTAGAAAATAAGGTAATCGAGGAAACTATAACATATTTGATTTGAGTATGTATAATGTTAAGCAAACGAAGCTTTGTTGATTGTGCGCGCCTGTCTTCATATTACATTTGTGAAAAGTTTTTGTAAACTTTTTCGCCCAATATCAAAACCAAATTAATATAATCTTAAAATTTGGTAATGAAAATTTAATAAAACTATTATAATTGCTTTTCTCAAATTTTTAAATTTTTTATACCCATCATCAAAGGATGACGAAAGTTTTGCAATACTCAGTAGGAATCTTCACAGACGCTACGAAGTATATATGTTCTTGGCAGCATCAAATTCTGAATCGATTTAAGCATTTCTGACCGTGAAATTATTTTCATTTACGTTAAGGATTGTCCCTTCTTTCCATCTTAGTAAAAAGTTACACTTGATGCTTGAAAGAAACTTTTGATGGCTACAAAGCCGGTGTTTTTTTTTTTTTTTTGCTGCTTTTATGCAACCCACCGTGTGGAGTGGTTTCACAGGCTCGGCATGTATCTAAAATATTGGGATTTGTTATAGGTTTTCAACTTCTACGGCGGTTGTATTCGTGGATGACTTAAGGTGATGTTCCAATTTGTTCCTTCGACTTTGATTAAGCGTATATCCAAGTTGTTTCATTATTTTACCTTCATGTTGTTGCAATAACTTACGACTTTAACAGGCAGGTGGACGGCCAGTGCGAATACATATTAGTATTTCTTTTCGAGATATCCGATGTAATGATATTTTTTTTTGGTGCGAATAAGTTCCAACAACTCAAATTGAAATGAATCCACACTGATGTGTGAGAAAAGAATATATTTAAAAAGAACATATAAATACATATCCCATCCTGTATATGTAAATAAACATAATTGCAGATGTTATTGAAATCGTGATATTCGAAATGAAGTGCGTTCATGTTTAACGTAAAACAAAGAAATTTTCAAATTAAATATGCCTTTGGTCCAATCAGAATTGTTAATATGCGTTATGACTTGTTTTATGTCAACGATCAGGAAAGTGCATTTTATATGGTCGCAGTCAATTTCTCCGTCGTAACATATGAACTGATAAATTTAAATGCAAACAAACAACTTACCATCGCTCTCAAGTTCTGGTTCAGCACTGTAAAGAAGCAGAGGAAAAGAATATCCATTATGAACAAGTAAAACAAAGTTATATTCGTATTGAGACATAGAGATGTTTTATGTCCATCATCATATCTCATCTACAACAATATATGAAAAATAAAGTTTGTTTTCGTTACCACTTCTTCGCCAAACCTATAGTAAATCATTGTAAAAGAACTTAAACCGTTACCTGCAGAACACCAATCGAGTCTTGTCAGTCTCACAATATTGCGTACAAGTCTCAAATGCCACAATAAAGGCTAAAAATCGTTTGAGAGCTCGTCTTTTGATGTGCAACGTTCGTGCATTCTTATAACCAGGCATGATATATGGTAACGTAGATATGATCAAACTATTATTAACTGTCAATACTGCGAAAGTTTTTGCAGGCATATTATATTCTCGCAAGCAATAAAAACTAATTTAGTTACGTTGTGCTTCAGTAGCACCATCTGCATTCAAATATGGGACGTTCGTGCCTTTACACAAAAAGAGCAAAATGGAGTAAAATTAAGTTATAAGGAAAATTGGCATCCCTAAAAATTAATTCTTCAATGGCATGAAGCACATTTGAAAAACATTGACACCGAACGAATTTCCACGTTTGCTCAGTCAGATTATCTTATTTAATTGAAATTTGGTCGGGGAGCTTTTGTTGCAAGGCACCGAAAAGGAAATCGTAACACAATAGTTTGTAACAAAGCTAGACTACATTTAGTAGTAATACAGATAAAGAAAATAAAAAACAGTTTGACGCGTATACAGTTTGGATTGAGGAAATAAGAAACTAGCAGTCCCACTACTAAATAGTATACACCAGTTCGTTTAATATGGGTACTCATATAACGACTTTCCAAAATAAGATGTTGTATGAGAAATGATCGAAAAAGTAATCCGATCTGACACACATTTTGAATAGTGTCCGTCTTTGGGCCAAAACACGGCGGTATGCCAAATTTTAACAAAATATCTCAAAAATTATGTATCGATTGCTATAATAAAAGGTGAATCCATCTTAAGTCCCTCACAGTGTTATATACGTCCTCAGAATTTTGACATACCGTTGTACCATCAATTGTAATTATAATTGTGTAATAATTGTGCAATTATTATTCGATATGAAAACTTAGAATTTTAGCAAGATTTAATAAAACGTCGTTTAGTGATGGGTTTTCCTTACAATACTATAAATAGCTTGTTATAAATTAGGGACTGAAGGACTTTGAAAAAATAAAAGACCCATCTAACCACCGCTATACTTTATTTTTTTTCTTGATATTTTATATGTGATCGGAAAATAAAGCGACTATACATTGCCATCACATATGAATTGTGTTTCAAATTATAGTTTTCTATGATATCGCAGCTAGGTGTACAAACGTAAAAACCATATTTACTTAGTCCACTTTATATGTGTAAGAAAAGAAATAAACCTGATTTTTAAATTGTTTAATTAGCTACGAGCTAATATAGATATATATATATATTATTTATTTATATTACAGAGAGAGATATAGAGAGAGATTTTATATATATATTGTATTGTATATTGTATATATACATACAGATTTTATTATTTATTTGATTTAGCTGATTTTCAACATTTGGAAATGTAAATAAATAGGATTCAGAGTGGTGAACAATTTTTGAAGCTATAATGAAGAAAAGGGGAAAATCCTTTTTTGTCTAATTGTAGGCCGCGCCAGCAGGCATTAGTGACAGGATAAAATTTGAGATCAAGCTTTTAATTTTAGCTTAAGTGACTTGAACCGAAAGACATCATTAATGGATAAAAAAAATCACAACTCGCCAACAAAAAGTTTGCAATTTGCAATACTTTGGCTAACAGCATCGATATCTCAGAAATTGACACTTTATGGCATCCTTAATACAGGTTAAACATGGCAGATTAGATTAGTATTTATTTGTGAACTGCAAAGAGGCCAGCGAAATTAGGAAATCTTCACCTTAAGTGGCACTTATTAAACTCTCTTTAACATTTAACATAATTACAATGTTATTGACTTTTTGCTTTTTTCAAGTATTAAACTTTGGAGGAACAAAAAAGATTTCCCCACACATAGACTTATAATACTCACGAGTTGGGTGGTGTGTTCTCTTCTGGATGGACCAAGCATCTGAATCCTTCCCTGTTCCTGCCGCTGCCATTGCGAGTAGGGTAAGAGCTCTTAGACGAGCTGGTGCTACTACTGGTAGAGCTC